CAGCACTTCCTTATTCATCCACAGAGAGCTTCTGGCATTTTTTGCCCGATCTCCTCATGTCTGGATGCATCGCTCTTTAGCTTGGAGGAGATAGTCCTTGAATATCAGCCAGCAATCTTGGGCCCCTCTGCCTTCCAGGACTTCATCCCAAGGCACTCTGCCAAGAAGGTCCTCAAAGAGGCCAGAGTCTGCTCTCCTGAAGTCCAGGGCACTGAGCTTGCTGTGCACCTTCCTCACTGCCCTGAATATCTTGAACACCATCTCGTGGTCGCTACAGCCAAGGCTGCCTTGGAGCACCACATTCCTCACCAGCTCCTCCCTGTTGGTGAGCACAAGGTCCAGCATGGCTCCTCTTCTTGTTGGTTCCTCAGTCATCTGTGTAAGGAAGTTATTGTTGACACCTTTGAGGAACCTCCAAGATTGCCTCTGCACTGCCATGTTGCTCTTCCAACATATATCAGGGTGATTGAAATCCCCCATGAGGACCAGGGCTTGCCAACTTGAGGCTGTTCTCTTCTGTCTCTCTTCTATCTATCGAGGGCTTCATCCACACCCTCTTCCTGGTCAGGTGGTCTGTAGCAGACCCTGTCCCAACCCTACCCTTAATCCTGATCCACAAACTCTCAAATTACTCCTCATCTGTGCCCAGGCAGAGCTCCACACTGTTCAATTGCTCATTAATATAGCAGGCTCATTATTATAGAGGGCAGCACCTGCCCCTCATCTCCCCAGCTTGTCTTTCCTGAAGAACCTAAAGCCTTCCATTCCAATGCTCCAGTCACAGGAGCCATCCCACCATGTCTTCATGATGCCAGCAATGTCATAGCTACACAGGCGCACGCGTGTCTCTTGCTCTTCTTGTTTGTTCCCCATACTATGTGCGTTGGTTCATGTAGAGGCACCTGAGCCAGGCCCAGCATGCTGGCTGTGACACTGCACTCCTCCAGGCATCCATTGTGGGTGATGGCATCCAACTGGCAGGATTGTGATGGATAGGTGCCCTTCTCCCCCAGCGAATCTAGTTTAAAGCTTTCTTCACAAGTTTTGCAAGCCCCTGACCAAAGATACTTTGCCCCTTTTCGTCAGATGAACCCTGTCAGTCCCAGGCTTGCCCGTGTGAGTCTCAGAGTCTGAGTACCCAAAGCCTTGACGCTAACACCATTGATCCAACCAACTGTTAACCTGCTGAATTCGTCTGGCCATTTCATACCCCTCACCCTGGACCTCACAGACTGATGTGAAGATCACTTGTGCTCCAGAGCCCTTTACCATCTTTCCCAGGGTTCTGTAGTCTTTCCTAATGCCTTTTAGCCTTCTGTTAGCTGCATCGCTAGTTCCCACATGGAACACTAATAGTAGGTAGTAGTCAGTGGGTTTGACAATGCTTGGTAGTTTCTCTGTAACATCCCTGGTTCACACTTCCCTCAAGAGCGGGTCAGGCCTACAGATGAGTACTTCTGTGCCTCTCAAGGCCGAGTCTCCCACTACTATCACCTGCCTCCTTTTCTTATTTGAGCTAGTTTTAATATTCCTTGTCTGTGGGGCAAGTTGAGCTACCACAGTTGGTTCCAGTAGTTCATGTGTGTCAGTCATTGCCTTAATTGTCTGTAGACCTATGAAGCAGATCTGTCTGGGGATATCCAGTTGGGTTGGGACATCTGGATTTAAAGCTGAACTCTTCTTTTTCTTAGTTCCTTTTCTCTTCCTTCTGCTATTCTTTTTCACTACTTCCCAGGCCCCAGCCTTAGTGACCTTCTTGCTCTCCATGTGTGTTCTAGTATGGGTTTCCAACCCCTCCCCAGTAGTCTGGCATTCCTCTGCCGCAGGAGGATTGCAACAATCTGCCTAACTCCTCAGCCTCCCTGATAGCTCAGTCTTCTGACTGTCTCCTGCAACCCTACTACCTGTTTTTGTAAGTCTTCAACCAGGGCACACCTGTTACAGCTAGGTGGGTTGTCCTTTTCCTGCTCCCTGATACTCCTTACCATCCTCATTTCTTCTTTCATCTCTGCTATCATCCTCCTGTTCACACCTTATGCATACATCATCTCTGCTGCCCTTAGATATCTGTGCCATTCTTAGCCATTCATAGAGCCAGAGACCTGGCTGGCTGCATGTCGGTGCTGGAGGTCTGTCTGAGTCTCTGTTGCTTCTGACAGTAGGCTGGAGCGAGTGGAAGCCATAGTTGGACCCTTTCTAGTTAGATGGGCAATGACTGGCTTCTGCAATTCTGCATCCTTTCTTTGCATCCTGCCTGTGCAAACTGCTGAACAAACTTCTGCACCTTCCCTCTGCTGGAGAGTCCCAGAGATAGTAACCCCTGCACAGCCAAATCCTAAACAATCTCAGTCTGCACTTACCTCAATTGCTGCTGCTGCTGCTCTCGCTGCTGCTGCTGGCATCAAGTGCAGGGGGCTGGCCTGGCTGGGGGAACAGTGTTTGTCCTGTTCTGGTACTCCAGGTGCTCGTAAATACCTTGGGTTGGTGAAGCTCAGGGCCCTACTGCACCCATGGCCTCACTGGGGTCTGCACAGCCCCAGCAGAGCATGTCTGGCTGAATGACACCTGAAGGCTTCCTGCAGCTCCTGGTGTGGTTGTGGGGGATGCTGTGGGCTCCCTGCCATGCATAGGGGACAATGTGCCATCAGAGCCAGCCTCGAGTCTGGGAACCTGCTTGCTGTTAGAATTCAGAGTGAGACTGTTTGTGCCAAAGGGAGTCCTGGGACTGCAGCCATCACTGGGGCATCTGGTCAGGACCCCAGGGGTGTCTCTCTTTCTCTCCCATGCAGTTTCAGATCCGGGCTCTGGAGTCTCAGAAACGGCAGCAGGAAATAGTGCTACGGAGGAAAACACAGGAGGTGAGAAAAGCTGTGCTCCACATAGCCCCCCCAGCCCCCATGGAGGTCTGGGCCTCAGTGCTCAGCTCAAAGACACCCCAGAGACTTCAGGCAGGGCCAGCTCTGGGAGTGGTGTTCCCAAAAGAGTGGGAGGGGCTTTGTGGCTCTGGAACCAGGTGGGAGATGGTTGTAGGCAGCAATGGAATTCCCCATCCCAGGTAGCAGAGCCCAGTGGTGGGGTTGTGTCCCAGTCTGTAAAAGCAGAGGGGTTTTAGAACTGAATATACCCAGAGCGAGATGAAGACACAAACAAAGTCAGATGTTGGTAGCTAAAACTATAACTCACTTTATTAGAATCGGAGAGAGAGATAGAAAAGGGGAAAGAAGGAAATATACAAAGAATGTTATAAAAAGCCAAGGACAGTCACCACTATGGATCCAGCGGCGTCCCAGTGATCCGTCTTCTTTGGTGGGGGGAGATCTCTCACCTGGGGGGTGTCAGCTCTCCGCTTTTGTGCTTATGGGGCCATTCCCCTTTACAGCTTCCTTGCAGCAGTTTGTAGACCAGGTGATGGCACTTGCCCCACCATAGGCCTTGATATTCAGTCCCTATCAGGGTCCTTTTGTGGCGGTGGACAGGCAATTTTTTGACCAAGTGGGAGTCATAGTGCCGGGAGTTCTCACATACCGAACTCCTCACAAGAGACAGCTGTTGTGTCTACTCCATATCTGCATGTCCCAGGCCAGCGATTCTCTGGCACTGCAAGGTCTGAGAATCGTTGTGTTGGAGACCATAAATGGGTACACTGCATTTGGGTACATTGTCAAGACAAAACAGTTCATTTTTTTTTGTCTCTTACAGGGTGGGTTATGAGGGAAGAGGGGGAAATCATGAGGCACAAACGTCCCTGGGCTTTGGGTCTCCAGAGCTGCCGCTCCTGGTCCTGTGGAGAACAGGTTTGGGCTGGGTGGTGATGCCCAGCTGACACCCTCTCCTCTGGGCAGGTGTCAGCGCTGCGCCGTCTGGCCAAGCCCATGTCTGACCGGGTGGCAGGCAGGATGAGCCAGAAGCCACCCATGCTGGACTCAGGTGCAGAGGTCTCAGCCAGCACCACCTCCTCCGAGCCCGAATCTGGCACTCGCTCTGTGTCCAGCATCGTGCGCCAGTGGAACAAGAAAATCAACAACTTCCTGGGAGACCCCTCGTCCTCCATGAATGGGGCTCGGCCTGCCAGGTCAGGGCAGGGGCTGGGTGGGTGGAGGGGTGAGACATCCCAGGGACCCCTGTGCCTGGCTTTTGGCTGTGGCAGAGGTTGGGGCATGACTTGTTAGTGTGCGTTCGGCCCATATTAAATCAGCGACCCAGCAGCAGGCTGTGCTGGCAGAGTGTAACTGACTGACAGCTGGGCTTGAGCCCAGAGCTGGCCTTCCACGAGGATTAAATGCCGTAGCACAATCCCTGTTGGGTTCATCTCTTGTCCCTTATTGCTAAGGGGCAATGGAAAAGCTGAGCAATCCAGAGACAATGCAGATGTCTCCTTTTGCTCCTGGCCAGCCAGAGCCTAGGCATCCTCCAGGGGCAAGCCTAGCTCTCCAGCATGGTGTGGAAAGCTCCCCATGTTCCTCTTCTACCCTCTGGCTGTAGGAAGAAGTTCCCCAAGAAGGGGATGAGCCAGACCTTCAGCAAAACTGCTCGACTCAAGTGGCAGTCACTGGAACGGCGTATCTTCGACATTGTCATGCAGAGGATGACCATTGTCAACCTGGAGGCAGACATGGAGCGACTCATCAAGGTGACTGTGGTGCTGGGGTTGGAGAGGGCTGGGTGGTGGGCGGGGTGCAGGGGCACAGCTGTGTGGACAGTGCCAATCCCCCTCCCTTTTCCCCCAGAAACGCGAGGAGCTGTCACTGCTGCAGGAGGCATTGCTGGGCAAGCGAGCAAAGCTGCAGGCAGAGAGTCCTAAGGAGCAAAAGGGGCTGCAGGAGCTGAATGAGGAGATTGAGGTGCTAGGAGCCAACATCGACTATATCAACGACAGCATTTCCGACTGCCAGGCCACCATCATGCAGATCGAGGAGACCAAGGTGAGCAGCAGGACTAGGCCCAGCTGGCAGGAGGGAGTGAGGGCATCCCTCAGTGATGAGGACATCGCTGGACACAGCCAGCTGTGTGACCTGGAGTCTTCTGAGTCATATCACATTCAGTGGGGCTGCATCAGCACAGTCACTTCTCGCTAGGTGTTAAGTGCAGAGAGGTGTGCTGCCGGGTCCTTGCATGTCTATGGACAGGCTGCTGGCATCCCATTGTCCTGGGAGTGTAAGGAAGCTGCTGCCCCCATCCTGCCCGTGGAGCCGGTGCTCTCTTGTCCCCACGGGAGCTTCATCTGCCAGAAACATCCTGGGAGGTCTGGCTTTTTCCCAGCAGAAACCCTCCAGGGTTTGTGAGCAGTTGTGGGCACTGTGCAGACTCTCCTCAGTGCCTGCAGCCCGGGCCGGAGGCTGTGTGCTGTCTCTGGCTTGTCCCCCAGCTGTCACCTCATTTGGCGGGGAAGAAGGGCTATTGTTAATTCACATTAGGGGTTGGGCTGTGGTGAGCCTGGTGTCTGTTCAGTGTCTAATTAAGTGTTGACACCAGAATTTCTGTAGCAGTGCAGAAGCACTTCATATTCCATTGTCCAGCCCCAGTAGCCACTGGGCAGGCTGGGGAGGGTGAGCATTGGACTGGGCAGTGCTGGCAGGGTGATGGAGGTGCTGTGCTGGCCATGGAGCCCCTTCCACCCATCCTGCATCCAGTGGCAAAGCTCCCCTGCTGCATCCAGCACCTGTCCCTCCACATTTCAGGAGGAGCTGGACTCCACGGACACTTCAGTGGTGATCAGCTCCTGCTCCTTGGCCGAAGCCCGATTGCTGCTGGACAACTTCCTGAAGGCCTCCATTGACAAGGTGCAGGGCCAGGCTGGGGTGTGGATGCGTGATGGGATTTCTCCCAGGGTGACAGGATGGGGACCCAGTGGCAGAGTCCCATGGCATCTGCCTGAGCATGGCAATCCTTCCCCAGGGGCTGCAGGTGGCCCAGAAGGAAGCCCAGATCCGCCTGCTGGAGGGGCGCCTGCGGCAGACGGATGCGGCTGGCTCCTCACAGAACCATGCCATCCTGGACGCTCTGCGGGAGAAGGCTGAGTCGCACCCTGAGCTGCAGGCACTGATCCACAATGTCCAGCAAGGTGGGACCCGGGGCAGACATATCCTCAAGCCAGGTGTGCTGTCTGTGGGGTGAAGTGCCTGTTGAGGGACCCTCCAGTCGGAGTTCAGCTGCCATGACACAACACATACCGATACGGTTATGATTGTTGGTTAAACCACGACAACACCTATTATAAGCGCCCACTTATCATTGGTTAACTACTGTTACTAGCCCACCTTACACACAACATAATTGGTTGTTTACATATCAATCATAAAATGCCCCAATCATTGTTCTCCACCTCTAACCAGCTCCTGCATCCCACAGCCAGGAGCTGCTTCTCTTGCTACCTCCTTTCTCTCATTCCAGCTGCAGCAGTGTCCTTGAACAGCTTAGCTCGCAGCTTGCTCAGGCCCTGCTAGCAAGGCTGGATTGCTCACACGTCCGTTAGCAATCAGAAATTCTCCCAACAGGTGCCCACTCGTGCTGGGCTCCCGGGAAGCACCTGGAGGTGCCGTGGCTGAGACCTTGTCCCAGGGTGATGCTGGGTGGGGACATGTGCCCTGGCCATCAGACAAAAGGGATAAGGACTGGGTCACCCCTGCAAAGCAACCTGGGCTGCCCCCACTGCCATGTGGTTCAAATGGGGCTGGGGACAATGGAGTCCCCTCTGTGCCGCTGATGCACTGTCTCTCTCACACACACAGAGAACGGCTACACCAGCACAGATGAGGAAGTCTCAGAGTTCAGCTTGGCTTCAGATGGGAGGTGAGCACCCAGCCTGGCTCTGCCTGACGTGGCAGTGGCTGGGGCAGGATACCTGGCACCACTTTTGGGACCTCACAGGTGGACATGGGTGAACAAAGCTCCACCTGAGCTTTCCTGTGGTGCCCAGCTCTTGGTGTGGGAACAGAGATGTCTGTTGGACACCATCAGAGAGTAAAGACTTTCTCTTGGAGACAGGGTGCTGGGGAGCAGGGGATGATCCAAGGAGTCTGGTGGGCCAATGGCACTGGCTTTTTGAAGGGGTTTGTCATTGAAGATCCATCTTTTCTCCCTTCTCCTTGCAGTATCTCCCAGTCTTTCACCATGAAGGGCTCAGCAAGTCAGGATGACTTCAAGTTCAAGGTTAGTTGGCCTTTTTGTGTGGCCTTGTCACAGGGATTGGGAGGACAGATGGAGGGATGTTCAGCACTGCTCCAGGCCTCTGCTTTTCCTGGCTGACCCTTGGGGAACCAGGCTTGGGATAAGGCAGTATGGCTAGTCTCTGGGGGGGGGGAACCAGGGTGTACTGGTACTATCGTCCTGAGGCACCAGAGACTTAGGAAACACTCACCACATCATCCAAGACCCTTCGGGTCTGAGTGGCACCAGGCAGGTCCCTGTGCAGAGCAAAGGTGGAGGGAAGCAGTGGTTGTTCTGTACAGGCTGTTTGCTCTGAGCACGGAGAGCTGGCTGTGATGGGCATCCCAGTGTGACATGGGAGAACTCAGCCTACTGTGGCCAGAGAGCAGGAGCTCTTCCACCCCACAGTGCTGTCTGCTCCTGAGCCCTCTGTCCTGCTCTAGGGAGAGCCCAAGCTCTCAGGGCAGATGAAGGCAGTGTCAGCTGAATGTCTGGGACCCACGCTGGATGTCTCCACCAAGAACATCACCAAGTCCTTGGCTTCTCTCATGGAGATCAAAGAGGATGGAATCAGCTTCTCCATCCGAGACCCCTACTACAAGGAGAAGGTGTCACGCACCGTCAGCCTGCCCACGCGAGGAAGCACCTTGTGAGCACGGGGTAATGGGTCTCTGGGCACTGGGAGGCTGTGGGAAGCTGTACCCAGGCTGTGGAGGTGTGGAGGAGTGAGGTATCACTGCATCTATCCAGGCTTGACTGCAGAAAGCAGTGGAGGATTTCTCCATAGAGACTTGGAGAGTGTCTAGGAGTATGTTAGTATCCTCTGCAGATGGAGAGGAGACTACTTCAGGAGGACAAAGAAGCAGGGCAAGGGTCCCTGACTCCCTGCTCTGGGTTATCAGGTTTCTTGAAGGCTTCTTGGGTTGCTAAAAGCCTCCACACTCCTGGGCTGATTTGAAGCATCCTCTGACCTTGTGATCATGAGTCCAGGGTAGCCCAATTTCTCATTTGCTGTGCTGGAGGAGGACATGGGTGTTGAGTGTGGAGGGATCCCAGTATGGGGGCAGGTACCCACTCTTGCTCTGTTCACTTGCTTCAGTCCCAGGCAGTCTCGGGGCTCCGACACTTCACCCTTGACCAGGCGGAAATCCTATGACCGTGGGCAACCTACCAGGTGAGCTTGCACGAAATGGTGACAACAGGTGCAGGGAGGCTGGGTGGCCCAGACGAGCAGGGAAGGATTATGGCAGGTGCCAGGTGAGCAGCTCCTGAGTCGTGTCCCTCTGATCCTTCCTGGCTCAGGCCTCCAGACGTTGGCTTCACACCGCCCTCATCCCCACCCACCCGTCCGCGCAACGACCGCAATGTCTTCTCCCGTCTCACGAGCACCCAGAGCCAAGGGTCTGCCTTGGATAAGTAAGTGTACTGGTGGGATGGGAGTGTCTGAGTGAGGGGGACACAGAGTGACAGCACACGGCATGTACTGGGTCATTCGGGGACATGGAGGAACACCAGGACTTGGGTTGGCTCCAGCCAGTGTCCTGTCACCGCTTTCCCTCCCTGCTTCTCTCTGTGAGGGAGCAGCTGCTGTACCAGTGCTATGCTGGACTCTGCCTGGCCTGCCTGCTGTGCCCCCTCTGACTTCACAGTCCTGGCCTCTGCCTGGAGGCAGGGCACTGTCAGACTTGGACCCCTGGAAAGGTGATGGAGCAGGATGGGGTGAGGGGATGTGGGAAGCTGATGGACTGTCATCCTCCCACAAACACTGCTCCAGTCTTCCCCAGCAGGAGGTCAGGTGCTGCCCTCAGCTCGGACATTGCTAGCAGCACTGGCAATCCCTGATGGAGACCTGCTGTCTGATCCTCACATGCCCTCCTGCTCCTCTGCTCTGCCCTGGTTCTCCACGTGTGCTTCTCTTTCTCCCTCTCTCCCCCCCTCCTCTCTGTCCTACACTGGCTTGGATGCAATAACAATCCTCCACCTCTGACTCCTCTGCTGCCTCCTCTAGTCTGGGTTTTCTCTCCCGTAATCCTGCTAATTTTCTGCCCCTAGGTCTGATGACAGCGATTCCTCTGTCTCGGAGGTGCTGAGGTATAGACAACTTTCTATTTATTATCCCTTCCTCTGCTCCTCCTTCTCTTTGATTCAGGTGCCTGCTCTCCCTGTCCCCGCATGCTCCAGCTGCACCTTGCTGCTCTCCCCACCTCCTGGCTTGCATGTCCATCCCCTCCTGGCATGCCACCTCCAGTGTCTGATGCTGTCCCCTTGGTTATGAGTTCGAACTGTTCCTGCTTGGATTAGCCTTTGTAAGTGACACGCTGGGCTCATCCATGGGCACTGGCTGGTTTGAGGTGGTAGCATGTTCTCCTCCGTCTCTGATGGGTTCTTGTCAGCATGAGTCCGCCATGTCCCGCCCTATATCCCAGCTCTCCAGCAGGATGGGGGGATGCTGGGTAAGGGAGCAAATGACCCTGGGTCCTCCCAGTGTGTCCTTCGTGCAAGCTTCTCCCAGGCAAATAGCTCCAGGTGCTCCCATACCTGGTTGTGCTTCCCTGATGCTGAGTTGGAGATGGATCTCTTTCCCAAAGAAACCAAGACAGCTTAGCCTTGGAGTTCAGGTGCTCCTGGGCTTCTCCCACTGCACCCACCTGCCTATGGAGGTTTTCCAACACAAGGGCCACCCTTTCCCCATCATTTAGGAACATCAGCCTCATTGCGGCCTTCCAGTGCCTAAAGGGGCTTATGAAAAAGAGGGAGAATAAGTGTTTATAGGGGCAGATAGTGACAGGACAAGGTGAAACAGTTTTAAACTGAAAGAGGAGGAATTTACATTAGATATCAGGAAGAAATTCTTCCCTGTGAGGGTGCTGAGGCACTGGCCCAGGTTACCCAGAGAAGCTGTGGCTGCTCCATTCCTCCAAAGGGTGCAAGGCCAAGTTGGACAGGGCTTGGAGCAAACTGGTCTGATGGAAGGTGTCCCTGCCGGCGGGTGGGGGGAATGAGGTGACAGCTGAGGTCCCTTCCAGCCCAAACCATTCCATGATTCTATGATCCGCCCTCTAGCACCCAGGTGCCCATGCCCTGAGCTCCAGCAGGCTCCCAGTCACTGGGGGGGGTGACACCAGACCAGTCTGGGCAACATCACCTTGGACAGTTTACAGGTAGGCAACCATACAAAGTCCATGGAAAACCTTTCACGCAGGAGAGATGGGATCTCCCCTTGGACTCAGTGTCACTTTGAGACTGGTGGAATCACTAGGGGTCAGGGGAGGGCTATTGGTAAGTGCAGAGCTGAGGAAGGATGATCATGTGCATGCCATTTCCAAACCCAAATTAATGACCCTGTGCTTGTCCTCATGACTAATGCAAACCTTGCATGGCCTCTGGACTGCCCTTCTCCAGCCCCGTGCCTCAGTTTTCCTGTTTGTAAGAAGAAACTAGTCCAGCCTGGAGTCCCATGGCCATGAGTGACCGTGCCAGGTGGCCAGGCACACCAGAGTCCCCAGGATTCACACATGGAAGTCAGGCTGGTGGTCCTCAGCACCCTGAGCACGGCTGAAGTGGAGGGGATTCGCAGATGCTGTGTCCCCTAGGACAGGCAGCAGTGTCCCTTGGAGGCAGGTTTGGCAGGGGTAGGTCCCGTCCTGCCCAGAACCAGTGGTGTGGCCAGGGTGTCATTGTGGCAAGGATGTGGGGTGCTAGTGCTCCCCTTTGTCAGCCTTGTGGTCTGCGTAAGGGAGCAGAGCCCTGTCTCCAAATGTCACCAGCCACAGGCTGATGGCCTCCAAGGGACTAGGGTGCTGACATTGGTGCCCTGAAACATTTATCCCAGAAGAGCTCCAGTCTGGAGAAGGCACAGTTTGTCCCAAAATGGATGTGAGGGCTGATGAGCTGGTTCTCCTGACTTGTCCTGGGTCTGTGCTGGCCAGACATGAGAGGTATGGGGGGAAAGCAGAGGGCTCTGGCAGCCTCCCCTTTCCCAGCCTGTATTGCTGGGGCAGAGGTAGGCAGGGGCTGCCTGTAGGGAGATTCCCAAGGTTTCCACAAAGACCTCGGCTCAGACATGCCAGTTGGAGGGGCCCATCTTACTGCTGGGCAATGGAAGATGCTTGGTGTGGGGAAGCTCATGCTCTCCCATGCCCTGGGACTGTGGCACAGTGCCTCTCCACCCTCCCACCATGCCTGTTCTCTCTCTCCCATGAAGGGGCATCATTAACCCAGTGGGTGGCACCAAGAATGCCCGGACAGCACCGCTGCAGTGTGTCTCGGTGGCGGAGGGACACACCAAGCCTGTGCTCTGCCTGGATGCCACTGATGAGCTGCTCTTCACTGGGTCCAAAGGTGTGCAATGGGCAGAGGGGGATGCCAGTGCTGTGGGAGCAGGTTGACATTGGCAATGTGGGAAGTGCTGAGCACTATGGGAATGGTTCCTGTCCTCAGCATTCAGCCTTGCCCAGCCCTGCCCTGGTGCTGGGGCTGACTAGCTCCTTTCCTCAGGCCCTGTGGATGGGGGGAGATGCTCAGAAGTGATATTGCCCCCAGGCCACCGTGCCCTTGGAGGAGTTTCCCCCCCTGACACTTTCCTCAGAAGTGATATTGCCCCCAGGCCACTGTGCCCTCGGAGGAGTTTCCCCCCCTGACACTTTTGGGCATGTTCTTCCTCCCACAGACCGGAGCTGCAAAATGTGGAACCTAGTGACGGGCCAAGAAATTGCTTCCCTCAAGGGTCACCCAAACAATGTGGTTTCGATCAAGTACTGCAGCCACACAGGACTGGTGTTCACCGTGTCCACATCGTACATCAAAGTGTGGGACATCCGCGACTCAGCCCGGTGCATCCGCACTCTCACGTACGTGGCAGCTTTGGCACACTCTGGGCATCTCTGGCTTTGCAGAAGCCAGTCCCAGGACCTACTAGGGCTGGGGACAGGGCCAAGTACCAGCTCCTTTAATGCCAGTTTGCAGTGCTGCTTTCTTAGGGGCAGGGCCAAGTACCAGCTCCTTTAATGCTAGTTTGCAGTGCTGCTTTCTTAGGGTACAGGGAGGTTGGGAGAGAGTTTGGGGCGAAGGGACCCATGAGGAACTCCTGCAGTGAAGACTCAGGGTCAGGAGATCTGAAGAGATTCTGCAGCTACTCTGGGGGTGGCCAGGAGAGCTGGCAGCTCCAGAGGGGAAGCACAGCCTCAACAGTATCATGGCTGGGTAAATCACAGGCTCTCCAGTGGGAAACTCAGGTCTCTGTCAGGCATTTGAGGACCAGAAAGGAGCATGGAACAGGCTGTAGCT